AATTTATAAACTAAACTTTCATAGGTATGTACGTACAGGAAAAAATATCTGTAGGGTTCAGTACTAGCCACGGTATCAGGCATCCACTGGGGGTCCGGGAGCGTATCCCGCGTGAGGAAGGAGAGACTTCTGTATTCCGATTTTACAGAAGAGAAACAGAAGCGTGAAAGGATTAATTAACCTGCCCCAGAGCACACAGCCATTGAACGCCGAGCCAGATGTAAAAGCAGGTGGGCCGGACGTGGCTCAGAATTCTTTTTTTTTTTTAAAATATATTTTATTGATTTTTTTACAGAGAGGAAGGGAGAGGAATAGAGAGTTAGAAACATCGATGAGAGAGAAACATCGATCGGCTGCCTCCTGCACACCCCCCACTGGGGACGTGCCCGCAACCCAGGTACATGCCCCTGACCGGAATCGAACCCGGGACCCCTCAGTCCACAGGCCGACGCTCTATCCACCGAGCCAAACCGCTCAGGGCATGGAACATGCACATGTGGGCTCAGCGGTTCTGGGGTGGGGCCTGAGAGATGGCATTTCTAAGAGGCTCCAGGTGTTGCAACACTGCTGACCATACTTTGAGTAGCAAGGTGTTATTTTGTCTTTTTTCTAAAGCCTCACACCTTTAATGCCTCCCACCTCCCCACCCCGGCCCTTCCTTCTATCAAGTCCCCCATGTTCTTGTTCATGTCCCACCTCAGCCCGGAACGGGGTCTGGCTCAGCACTCTTACACCCACTGCTCTGTGTCTCTCCCCTCCTAGACTGTCAGGTCCTTGAAGATAAATGCAGTCATGCACTTTTCATGACACTAAAGGATGGGCCACATATACAACGGTGCTCCCAGAAGATTATATGGAGCCAAAATATTCCTATCATCTAGAGCAGCGGTTCTAACGACCCTTTCACAGGGGTTGCCTAAGACCATCGGAAAACACATATATAATTACATATTGTTTTTGTGATTAATCACTATGCTTTAATTATGTTCAATTTGTAACAATGAAAATACATCCTGCATATCAGATATTTACATTACGATTCATAACAGTAGCAAAATTACAGTTATGAAGTAGCAATGAAAATAATTTTATGGTTGGGGGTCACCACAACATGAGGAACTGTATGAAAGGGTCGCGGCATGAGGAAGGTTGAGAACCACTGGTCTAGTGACAGTTGCAGCTGCAATAAAGCCAAAGCCATGGTGCTTTCTTAAAAGAGTGACACCTCCCATGAGGAGCCTCGGGTATTGCAGAAGCCATCGTTATAGGAGGTGACGGACGGCTCCATGCCCGTGTCGCCCCTGGAGACCTCCCAGTGGACAGATGTGGCGTGGGAGACAGCGGTACTGAGGCTCCTAACCCTGTGTGGGCTTAGGCCAATGTGTGTGTTTGCCTTCGTTTTTAACAAAAAAGTTTAAAAAATAGAAAAAGCTTATAAAATAAGGATATCAAAATAATTTTGTACAGCAGTGCAATGTATTGTAAGCTAAGTTATTACCAAAAGTCCAAAAATTTAAAAAATTAAAAGTTCGATTCCCAGTCAGGGCTCATGCCTGGGCTGTGGGCTCCATCCCCAGTGTGGGGCATGTAGGAGGCAGCCGATCAATGATTCTCATCGTTGATGTTTCTTTCTCTCCCTTCCTCTCTGAAATCAATAAAAACATATTAAAAAAACAAAACAAAACAAAGACCACAGTAGTGGACAGTAGTCTAGGCCTTCATGTCCACTCATCTAAAATAAACGCCAGTCCTAAAGGCTCTATTCATGGTAAGTGCCCTGCATAGGTGCACCGTCTTAATCTTTTATATGTATTTTTACTGTACCTTTCCTGTGTTTAGGTCTGTGTAGATAACAAACACTTACCTTTGTGTTATAGCTGCCTACAGTATTCAGTACAGTAACATGCTGTGCAGGTTTGTAGCCTAGGAGCGTGCGGCTACACCACCCGGCCTGGGGGTGGCAGGCTGTGCCATCTGCGTCTGTGTGAGCGCACTCACTCTGCATGTCTCCATGAGGAAATCACCTAATGACCCGTTTCTCAGAATATACCCCCTTCATTAGGCGATGCATGACTGTACTTTATCTTGTTCTCAAAAATCCACGCTCAGTGTCTGGCACAGGAGTTACCTAGCAGGTGTTTGTTGAGTAAAAAAAATAAGCTCCTTGTCTCAAAGAATCCCACTACCACCCACCTCACTGCATAAGCCAGGAACCTAAGTTTCACTTTTGACACGTCTTTCACTCCATTACCAAGTCAACTCCCCAGATGACTCTCAAAGCAGCTTACTTCTCTCCCTCCATCCCATCCTAGCGCCACAGCCTCCTGACAGCTGCTCTGTGCCTCTCTGGCCCTCCGGTCCATCTACCCGGCAGCCAGAGTGATCTCAAATGCAAATTCCATTTTAAAGTAAAGAAGGTCCTTCACATGGCCTCGGCCCCACCCAGCCTGACCCTGGTCGCTCCCCTCCGGCCTCTCTCACTGCTTTTCACACTGCCTGCTCAGATCCTGGGGTTCGTTATGCTTCCTTCTGTGGCCGGGCCTCTGCAGGCCACCTGGAGGGCTCTCTCTCCTCTCCCTGGGAAGTCAATGATTACCCCTCCCCCACATCTGAGCCCAAGGACCATTTCCTAAGAGGCTCTCAACCTCCCTGACCAGGTCAAGTGTCCCTGTTAGCAGGTCCTTAGAATACCCATGTGACAGATTTCATTTTTGTGGCACTTGTCATAAGTGAACTTTTTTTCAAGACGTTAACATATGCTTATGTCTCAAAAACCACAATTTCCAAAGCAAATAGAGCAAAAGTTGGGCCCCCATTTAAACCAACAGAACTGTACAGACATATTTCTTTATTTTTAAATACATTTTTATTGATTTCAGAGAGGAAGGGAGAGGGGTAGAGAGATAGAAACATCAATGATGAGAGAGAATCATTGATGAGCTGCCTCCTGTACACCCCCTACTGGGGATTGAGCCTGCAACCCAGGCATGTGCCCTTAAACCAGAATCAAACCTGGGACCCTTCAGTCCGCAGGCGGACGCTCTATCCATTGAGCCAAACCAGCTAGGGCGGGACAGACATATTTCTTTATCTGACTTTAAATGAATTTAAATCAAGAGATCCATCGAATTTTAAAAAGCACCTATATTCAGAGAAGAGCTGAATATTTTCCCCATTTGGCAAAACCAATTAGCATAACAATATTTGCCTTTACAACCGGGAAGTGTTATTTTCATTGATGTCCAGTGGAGACCTGGCTTAAGGTTCTGAACCATGAAGCATCTCCTGGAACAATGCCAATGAGGGGTTTTCATGACAAAACAGTTTCTGATAAGGTTCTTCGGGGGCTTCATGCTCTCCCCATGAGACTCCAGAATTTCAGCCCAGGTCTGGTTGCCAGAGGGGTCTTGAAGTAACATTTGCATAGAACTATACTAATTTTATTTAGAGTGTATGTTTATTAGCTGTATCTTGGAGATTGGGGCAGGCCTCTGTCCCCCAGCCCGTCTTGCCGCTGGGAGTCTCTGCCCCAAATGAGACCACCAGAGGGCGCAAGAGCTTGGGTCCAAGTCCTTA